CTAGGGCTTTTTGCTCCTAGATAGAGGGAAGTTCCCTCTGGGTGGCTTGTCTCTGTTTTGGTTGAACTTTCAAATACTTTGGTGCCCAGAGATGGTAAAAATAACAATAGCCAATACTTATATAGTGACTTTGGGCTTCCCTGGTGCCTCAGATAGTAATGAATCTGGCTGCAATGTGGGAGACCTAGGTTTGAATCCTGGGTTGGGATGATCTGCTGGAGAAGGGCATGGCAACCCACTCCAGTATTCTTGCCTGGGCAATCCCCATGGACAGAGGTGCCTGGCAGGCTACAGTCCATGGGGTTGCAAAGAGTCAGACACGACTGAGTGACTAAGCACATATAGTCCTTCAGTGTGCTTTATATGAGTTCATCTAAATTTGGAAAACTCAGCAGTGGCCACAGGACTGGCAAAGGTCAGTTTTCATTCCAATCCCAAAGAAAGGCAATGCCAAAGAATGCTCAAACTACTGCACAATTGCTCTCATCTCACACACTAGTAAAGTAATGCTCAAAATTCTCCAAGCCAGGCTTCAGCAATACGTGAATCATGAACTTCCAGATGTTCAAGCTGGTTTTAGAAAAGGCAGAGGAACCAGAGATCAAATTGCCAACATCCGCCGGATCATTGAAAAAGCAAGAGAGTTCCAGAAAAACATCTATATTTGCTTTATTGACTATGCCAAAGCCTTTGACTGTGTGGATCACAATAAACTCTGGAAAATTGTGAAAGAGATGGGAATACCAGACCACCTGACCTGCCTCTTGAGAAACCTATATGCAGGTTAGGAAGTGACAGTTAGAACTTGACATGGAACAACAGACTGGTTCCAAATAGGAAGAGGAATATGTCAAGACTATGCATTATCACCCTGCTTATTTCATGTCTATGCAGAGTACATCATGAGAAACGCTGGGCTGGAAGAAACACAAGCTGGAATCAAGATTGCTGGGAGAAATATCAATAACCTCAGATATGTAGATGACACCACCCTTATGGCAGAAAATGTAGAGGAACTAAAAAGCCTCTTGATGAAAATGAAAGAGGAGAGTGAAAAAGTTAGCTTAAAGCTCAACATTCAGAAAACTAAGATCATGGCATCTGATCCCATCATTTCATGGCAAATAGACGGGGAAACAGTGGAAACAGTGCCAGACTTCATTTTTTGGGGCTCCAAAATCACTGCAGATGGTGATTGCAGCTATGAAATTAAAAGACACTTATTCCTTGGAAGGAAAATTATGACCAATCTAGACAGCATGTTAAAAAGCAGAGACATTACTTTGCCCACAAAGGTCCATCTGGTCAAGGCTATGGTTTTTCCAGTAGTCATGTATGGATGTGAGAGTTGGACTCTAAAGAAAGCTTAGCACTGAAGAATTGATTCTTTTGAACTGTGGTGTTGGAGAAGACTATTGAGAGTCTCTTGGATTGCAAGGAGATCCAACCAGTCTATCCTAAAGGAGTTTGGTCCTGGGTGTTCATTGGAAGGACTGATGTTGAAGCTGTAACACCAATACTTTGGCTACCTGATGCGAAGAGTTGACTCGGAAAAGACCTGGATGCTGGGAGGGATTGGGGGCAGGAGGAGAAGGGGACGCCAGAGGATGAGATGGCTGCATGGCATCACTGACTTGATGGACATGAGTTTGGGTAAACTCCGGGAGTTGGTGATGGACAGGGAGGCCTGGCATGCTGTGATTCAAGGGATCACAAAGAGTCGGACACGACTGAGCAACTGAACTGAACTGAACTGAATGCTCACAACATCCCTATTAGGAGGAGGTAGTTATTATTATTGTCCCCATTTTACAGATAAAAAACCAAGGCACAGAGAGTTTAGGTAATTTGCCCAAGATCATACTAGTAAGTGCCAGGCCTGGAATATGAATCCAGCTCTCTGGATTCCTTAGTCTATGTTCAAGAGACAACATGTGAAAAATACTAGACTGGATACAATGTAAGTACTGAACAAACATTTCTGTCTTTGTTCACCATCCCTCCTCCAGAAGTGTGCCTTTTCTATCAATAACATCTCAGTCCTGTGGTTCGGCAGAATCCAGCCTTGGACTTGTTTCTTCAGTCTTTGTGTCTGAACCTTGCATCCCTCCCTGCCAGAAGCCCTAGTAAGCCCTGTTCTCCCAGGGACCTGGAAAACCCACTTCCCATGTACCCTGGCTGGGAATTGACTTTCCACTGTCGAGGCTCATTTTCCCCGGGAGCCCCCGTATCCCATTTGGCGCCTCTGGCACCGAGGTGTTGCATGTGCTGCCATCTGGTGGGCATAGATGACACTGACACCACTCTGATGAATGACTCGCCATTGATGCGGATAGGTCTGCTCCTCTTTAGTCCTCAGGTCAGGATACCCTTCTCAGAAGGCAACCAACTGGTAATTAAGATCCATTAATGACTGGTTTTTCCAACCCTGGTATCAAAAGCATTCTGATGTAGGCTTAGTACTGGGGGGACGGCAGAGTGGCTCCAATCCTTTGGCCACCTGATTCGAAGAGCTGACTCACTGGAAAAGACCTTGATGCTGGGAAAGACTGAAGGCAGGAGGAGAAGGGGATGACAGAGGATGAGATGGTTGGTTGGCATCACATCACCGACTCAAAGGACATGAGTTTGAGTAAGCTCTGGGAGTTGGTGACAGACAGGGAAGCAGGGAGTCCTCAGTCCATGGGATTGCAAAGAGCTGGACACAACAGAGTGACTGAACGACAAGACTGGCTGTACTTGTGGGTAAGAAGTCCTACTTGCTGAGCTGTGCTGTGCTCAGTCGCTCCATCATGTTCAACTCTGTGATCCCACGGACTGTAGTTCACCAGGCTCCTCTGTCCATGGAATTTCTAGGCAAGAGTACTGGAATGGGTTGTACTTGCCCCCTACTCAATCACATAAAGAAGGAAGCTGCCTACCCAATATAAAAGATGGGTAAGATCCAAAGGTTGTGTCACAAAGACCCTATCAAGGATCTCTAGCCCCTCGCATAGATTCTCCAAGATACTCTTTCCTCTTGTAGCAGTAGGAGACCCTAGGTTCAAATAATAGATATAAATTTACAGAAATATATTGTACTTGAGTCTCTGCTAAGCCTGCTCACACCCATTGTCTGATTAACTTCACAGGGATCCATTTTTAGCAGCTTTCCAGTTTCAGAAGAGAGGCCCATTATTGAGACTACGAGACAGGTTATATACACATATCTGTAGTAAACTGGGCGGGGTCTGGGGCAACTGGTCATTCAGACAAAACCTCAGGGGCTCAATAATTACTTGTTGGATTGAATGAGGGTCAAAGAAACGAATCTCTACCCAGGCATTGTTTACAGGAGGGCTTCCATAGAGGCTAACTCTTTTCTGTCCTTGTGACTCTGAAATCTTTCTGGGTTAAATCTTTGTATTCCCTTCCAGTTTGCTTGTTTAAAACCAAAGACTTAGGGATCTTTAGTGGGAATTAGAGGGTCCCGGAAGCCAGCCGTTCATTTGAACATCCTTTTGACCTATGTGCCCTACTGATGGTGAAGACAGACATTATGAATAGAAAGTCAATGTGCTGGAGCTCAGCTCAGAAAGTAAGCAACTTGCTGCCTATAGTTCTGGTTCCTGTTAACTTCCATTAGGGGAGAGAGAACTGATACTGGTTAGTGGATAAACTATTGCTGAATAGCAAATGGGGTTCATGGAATTCTAGTAGAGTTCACCATATCCTGGAAGGAAAGCTCACATGATCCTGAGCACCCACTATATATCCTGCACTAATGAAACATTCTGCCTGGTACGTTCTCTCATTTCATCATCACAACCAGTTCTCCAGCAAGTATTGTTTATATTTGATGTAAGGGGAAACTGAGTCCCTTTGGGGTTTTGAAGCTCGTCCAAACTCTCGTAACTAATAAGTGGTGGATCTGGGATGAGAGTCATGGAGTCTGGCTGCACCTACAGTGAATATTCTTTGAACTGGTCAACTAGAGTTTGTGACCTTTTAGAGAGAAGAGACTGATCCTCATTCTTCTTTTACTGCATTCAGTTCTACCACATTACAAATAGATGACAGGGCCAGCTGGACCAAAATATAAAGTCACACAATCCATTCTGTTTTCTCTTTGAATCCTTATTTTTAAATTTGGGGTTTTTCCCCATTAAGAATGTGAAAAATGAGTGTTGCTTCTCTCTGTCTAGCCTTATGGTGGTTTAGGAAGATCCTGGGAAGAGCTGAATTTCCAAGTCCCCTCCTGGGAGAGACTATGAAACAGAAGGAGTAATTAGACCTTTACCATTAGCTGTATTCAAAGCCACTGCTTATGAATTCATCCAACTAGAAGGAAGTCCAGAACCTCTGTTTGTGATCTGATTATACTTCTAGAGGGAAAGAAAGAGAGACAGGTTTTATTCCCTCATGGATGCAGATTTTTGTACCTTGATTTTTTTCCAGAAATAGTCTGTACTCTTCTCATACGTATGGGCTCATACATAGTACTCTCCTCTACTCTCTATCCAACCTACATGTATTGTTCTCTTTCTCAGTTATGGGTTGAGAGAAATCTTCCAAGATCTCTAGTTTGTGTCTGTTTCCATAGTATCTTTTGGGAGTTCTGTATGCAAAGCTTCGGTTTAACGGGCTTCCAGGCTGATGGCCATCAAACGCCCCTTCATTGGTTTTGTGTCCACCCTCTTTTGCTGGGCCAGGTCCAGAAAACATCACTTGAGGAAGCTGCCTTGGGTACCAGGATCACAGCTGGTTGGGGTGCTGGCACACCAAGGGACACTCTTCAGGACAGGAAAATGCATCCCAGAGACAGAGGATAGAAATCCGTGTTTTGAAGAATCTTTGTTTGAAGGAATTTTATTCAGGTTTTGAGAAGTGAGTGTTCAGCAGAAAGGGATAATATGAATAAGCATTTGCTCTAATAACAAAATAGTGTCAGTCACTGGAGTGACTTGCCCCCTCTGCTGTGAGGCACAGTTCTGTCCTCCCTAACATCAATCACAAACAGCATGTACAGAGACCGAGAGCTCACAGACAGCTTAATCCCCCCCAGGGATATTTCTGTGCAGGATCTCCACAGGCATTGGGATGAGCCCCGGCCCTCGTGAGTGACAAGTGGGGTTACAACACACAGCTTGTCCGGGAACTGCACAGACTTGAGATATATATATATATATATATATATATAGCTAGGGGCGTTAAAAACCTTTGAGGTGGTTGGTTGTGGAGATGATACAGAACCTTCTAAGAGATTCCTAAAAGGGTTGACTCCTTTGACAGTTGTGGGGTCTGGAGACATTCAGGAAGCCTGCTGACAGGGTGAAGTCAAGGAAGAAGTGGACGCCCACGGGGCCTGACCGAGGGCGAGACAGGACAGGCCATACGGCCCACGCTTCCCTGGCCTCCCTGAGTCCTCGCAACCAGAAAAAGGGTTGAGAGCCGGCAGGTGGGATCCACGCGAGAAGCCCAGCGGTCGAGTGGTGGGGCGCTGAGCCGAGCTACCTCCGGAAGCCTGGAGGTTTCTGCGCGAGAGCGAGTGGAATACCCCTAGAGGTGGAATCTGCCGGCCTAGGACTGGGACTGGTGGCGCGCCCTCTCGGGGAGCCTCGGGTCTGGGGCAGCCAGCGCGGGCGCGGGTGGAGGCTCTGGAGCGTCCCTGGAGGGCGGGGGCCGGGGGCAGCCAGCAGGTGGGGCCCCGGGCCGGACTCCGCCCCCCGCACCCTCCCCGTTGGTCCGCGACCGCCCAGCCCCGGCCCCTCTTCCGAGCCCGAGCGCGATTGGTGGCGGCGCTTGTCGCTCGGAGGGGGCCGGGCCGCTGGGCTCCGTGGTTCACCCTGCCGCCGCTGCCGCTGCCGCCGCCGCCGTCCTTCCAGCAGCGCGGGCGGGTCGGACCGCCAAGGCAATCGGCGCCGGGCGATGGGAAGCGGCGCGGCCGCGGATCCAGGCTGTGGCAAAGTTTCCCAGACGCTCGTATCAAGGCGCGCGGCTGCCGACCACCCGTGACTGCTCCGAGAAGGGCTCGGAGATTTTTAATTTGGAAAAATAATCCACCTCATTTCCTTTGTCAAGCTCTCTCTCTCAAAGCGGCCAGCGGCGGGAGCTACAAACTTGGGCACGGCGGCTCCACTGCCGGCGGTCCGGGCTTTGGAGACCGTCGGCACTCAGGTGCTCCGGCGCCCGGCGGCCCCGGGCGTCCGAGAGGGTGTGATCGCGGGGGAGTCCCGGGTGCGCAGAGAGAAGGGGCCCCCGGGAGCTCTATATGGAGGAGGGAGCCCAGAATGGTGTGCACCAGGAAGACCAAAACTTTGGTGTCCACTTGCGTGATCCTGAGCGGCATGACCAACATCATATGTCTGCTCTACGTGGGCTGGGTCACCAACTACATCGCCAGCGTGTATGTGCGGGGGCAGGAGCCGGCGCCCGACAAGAAGCTGGAGGAAGACAAAGGGGACACCCTGAAGATTATTGAACGGCTGGATCACCTGGAGAATGTCATAAAGCAGCATATCCAAGGTACGAGCCCCCGGGGAAACTTGGGCAGCCCACGGGGCCGGGGAGTGCCCAGAGCCGTGCGCGGTGCGCGGAGGTTGGTGGGCATCTCTATAGCGACTGCGGGGCTCTGAGGCTGCAGACGCTTGGCGGGGCTGCGTGTATGTTCTTGCCTGAGTACGGGACCCTCAGTGTCGGCGGCCGTGCGCGCTTCTCCAGGGCACACGTGTGTGCACGGGGCTCCACGCGCGGGTGTGTGCAGCTCGCTGGCGATGTGGGGGCGCGCTGCGCACGTGTCCCAGTGTGCGTGTGACTACCGGCTAGTTGCTCGAGGGCTCTCGGGGTCGCACACAGGTCCGGTTCAGAGTGTGGGTACGTGTGAATGTTGGTGTGTGTACAAGGGAGCGCTCAAAGGCAATCGAGCTCATTTGGCTACTGTAGGGCCTACGGGGAGAAACGTGAGAGGCCCAGGTCGTTGCTGTTTAGGACCTACAGGCTGCGGGACAAGCCGGAGCTGAGAAGACTGCACGGCCCTGGTCCCAGCCCGGCTGTGAGCGACCCATAGGCGAGTGGGTGTGCAGAGGGATCTGTGGCTAGGAGTGCTGTCTAAACCTTAGCGGTCTCCACCCGCACCACAGCGCGCGGGTCCAAGACCCTCTCCAACAGCAGGTGTTAGCTCGGTGAAGAAGCATGGGCGCCTGGAGCTTTGTCCACTGCGGTGGCGCCTCCGCCCAGGACTGGGAGAACCCGCCCTGGGCTGCCAGTGAAGGCCATTCCCTCCGGTAGCTCCACTCCCAGGCCCGGGAAGCGGCTGGGGCGAAGCAAACAGATCCGCGCGGGCTCGGTCTGGAGTCTTAGGCTGAGCCGGGTGATTGCGTTCCAGGTCAGGGCTGGGGTCAAGGGGACGATGGGGTACGGAGCACTCTCCCCAGGCGACCCTGTCCGATGAGCTGTCGGAGGCAGCAGATAGAGAGCTCCGGCTGGGCACCACAGGTCAGAATGTGCGCGCACATGTCGGGCTCTCGCGTTCACATTTCTTTTTTCTTCGCTGCTACTCCCTCTGTTTTCTACCAGGCTTGTCAGCTTTTTAAGGGCAGGACCGCGCCAGCAGAGCCTAGCTCACCTGTCGACCAGGCAGACTTCGGCACGTATCCGGTTGACTATTTCTCTCCCAGGAGCGCTCTCATTTGTTTACACATGGTTGTCAGGATCCAACCTTGCATCTGCTGCCCCTTCCATGGTGGGGACAGCTGCTCTCTCTACATTTGGTTTGTATCCCCATATGTACAAAAGTTCCTTCCCAGGGGGAGGTCAGGTGAGTGCAGGAGAGGTATACGTATCCACAGTGCTTCCTGACTGACTGATGACTTTAAAACAAGTTCATGGCTCTGACGCTTCTGCTTCGCAGTTCTCCTTGGTACCTGCCCCTGGGCTTGCGTGGCAGACCGATTTATCTCTCTGATGTGCCTGTTGCTGTGTTTCTGACTTGTCCTTTTCCATCCCGCGGGTCCAGGTTGACAATTAGTCACCAGTAGAAGTACAGTGTTTGCCTCAGGGTGATTCATATTGTTCACAGAGGGATGCAGGCCATACCTTACTTTGAGATTTCTAGTTTGCCCACAAATTTTAAGAGATTTTCATTCACAGATTCTGTGTGTGTGTGTGTGTGTGTGGGTGTGTGTGTGTGTTCATGTTTCTGGAAAATGATCCTCTTGTGCTTTCCAGTCTGGTCAGGGAGGAGGTGAGCAAGATACTACATTGGGAAGCAGTGAGGAGATCTTGGGGTCATGGGCTCATCCCAGAGTGCACCTTTGTCATGTTGAACGTGGACTGTATCAGGTGGTTTATAAGACTTTACATGAAAATGAGTGCAGTGTGGAAGCTGAAAGGAGCCTTTGTGTTTTTGCTCCCAGGAAACCTTATAGCTATGCCTTGTTTGAAACTTTCAAAGGTATACCTGAAAAAATTGAGAGGGGAAGAAAAAAAGAGGGAGCATTATCCTTAAAACACATGGTGGTCCAGCTCTCTTGTGTATGTGCAATGACTGTATTATGAGTCCTGTGGATATTCAGAAAAGGCCAGATTCTCAGGTGGAAGGGTAGAAGCCATCGCTCATAGTGGGGTGGGGAAGGGCCAGTGACTTAGCGAAGACTCGCCATGAGGCAGAGGGAGGCATAGGATGCTTGGCTGCTGTGCCATGATGGTCTTGCTACAATTAGTGACAACACCCCCAGAGATGCCGGAGCCATCCTTGAGCAAGTGTTTGGGGCATTTAAAGTAAATTTGGGCTTCCCTGTGGCCCAGCTGGTAAAGAATCTGCCTGCAATGCAGGAGACCCAGGTTCAATCCCTGGGTTGGAGAAATCCCCTGAAGGGAATGGCTACCCACTCCAATATTCTTGCCTGGAAAAGTCCATGGACAGAGGAGCCAGTGGGCTACAGTAAATTTAGGGATTAATCTTGCTTATGTAAGGGGCCTACAGTGTTTGGGACTGGCCAAGTGCCACTTTCTGAAGGCAGAGGGTGGGAAAGGAAAAAATCAGAGGCTTGTTCTTGATGATATGGGCCATTTACATGTATTTCAATGTTGAGTTTCCTCTAGTTAGTAGGGAAGGCCTTTTGAGCAAACCAGTTTACTCTGTTGAGCTGAGGGGGAATAGGGATAATAATAATAGTTAGTAGCTAAAAAATTATATAGCACCAGCTGTGTGCCAGGCATTATTTAAGTACTTTACGTATGTTGACTTATTTAATTTTCCTCCTGCTATGAGGTAAGTACATAAGCTCCATTTTACACATGGAGATTATATAATTTGTCTAAGGTGCAAGGATTTAAACCAAGCTCATGTTGCTTCAGGACCCGTGTTCTTAACTGCATGCTAGGCTGTCTCTTAAGAGGGCCAGAGGGTCACAGGGGCAGCAGGGCTCTCCTAGAGTCACTGGATGGTGGGAGTGGGTATCGGAGTTGGAGACCTCAGAGGGTGGCTGAGGGATGATGGAGTCATAGCCTTTCCACTTGGAGATTCTTCCGTAGTTAAACTCAGGAAGCTCTGGGTTTTGTTTCACACCAAAAGGCAGAGGTTACATTCACATAAGACGTGTTTGTGGAATACCCAGGACAGTTTCTGGCACATTCTTCAGAGAGTGTGTGTTGGATGGCCAAGTAGATGAATGAATGAGCACACAGTGCGGGTGCCCAGGGCTGGTTAGTCATTAATGAAAGCATTTCCATTCTCAAATGACTAGGTTTTGCTTTGGAGCCTTGCACAGGTTCCTCTTTGCTTTGGAAGGAAAGTTGTCCTGGAAGCTGCAAATGTCACAAAATGTTCTACTGGATGTTCCATAGGACTTGCAATTAGAAGAGGCTTTGGAGCGTCACCCTGGAGCTACATTCTAGTCATGACTGAAAAGTTTATTTTCCTCTTGGGGGTTGCAGTGATATTTCATTTTAATTTGTTTTCTGATTGAATGATTTAATTAGATGGTGTTTGGGAATCTCTTGGGAATGTAAATTGCAGTTTTGATAATTATTTTTTAACCAGATAGATGGTAAATGAGAGGGTGGATAACTCCGGATTTTAAAAATAGCATCCTGATGGATTGGAAACTCAAAACAAATGTTAGGACAGGTTTGGTCTTGGAGGAGAAAGATGGAATTGCTGGAGGTGGTGCAGTGGGTTAAGTTAGAGTGTGAAGGAGGCTGGAGTGTTGGAGAGCTTAGGAAATGGAAATGTGGGTTCACTTCTTACTGTGGAAGTCGAGTAGACCCAGACAGCTTCTCTTTTCTCTTGGTTAGTATCTTTTTTGAATCTAAAAAAGAATGAGCCAACATTAAATAAAATATTTTAAAATGTATAAAATTTCTCTAATTCATTCTAATCTAATGCAACTATTTTGTATTTTGACAATGCCTTCTAGCTTTGTCCATCTGGCTCCATATTTAAAAATGCAGGTGTAGTCATGGTTTACATGTAACTTTGTATTCTGCTTTCCTCAGTTTGCTTTTTGTTAGAAGCATTTTTCAATATTTGCTACATAGTTAATTGATTTTGTTGTTGTTGTTCAGCCGCCCAGTCATGTCAGACTCTTTGCGACCCCATGGACTGCAGCAAGCCAGGCCTCTCTGTCCCTCACCATCTCCTGAAGTTTGCCCAAGTTCGTGTCCATTGCATCGGTGATTCCGTCCAGCTATCCCATCCTCTGATGCCCTCTTCTTCTTCTGCCCTCAATCTTTCCCAGCATCAGGGACTTTTCCAATGAGTCAGCTGACCAAAATACTGGAGTTTCAACTTCAGCATCAGTCCTTCCAACGAATATTCAGGGTTGATTTCTTTTATTGATTTAGTCCTTTCTTATTGGAGACCTGGTATGTGCCAGGAAGCACTGAGTCATGACTTTGGATACAGTGGCCAATGCAGACCCTCCTGGTCCCTGTTGTAGTGAACGCATTTTTGAAGGACGATAGTATACCTCGTCTTCAACACAATTTGGGTCTGAGTTAGCCAGTTTATTGAAAACCTGATTAAAGAAGAAACTAAAACAAAAAAATCACATACATGCATTAAATATTTTGTTTTACCGTGCATTTATTTCTCAGCTTTTTGATGGAAGGCCAAGGCTTTATCTTTGGCTTGGATCTGTTAAAGAAAACAGAACTAGAAATCTGACTTTGTAAACAGCTTTTTCATTGAATAAGCCACCACCAAAAAGTGCTGTTTAGAAAGTCTGATTTCTAGTTCTGTTTTCTTTAACATCCATTGAGAACTTGAAGGTACTTATGAAGCAGTACAGTGGCCCACATTTTTATTACTTTGGTCTTTTGCAGTGACTTTGTTCATGAGTAATTTGACTGCTATTTATGTGATTAGTTCTATGAAGTCTTTCCGAAGCTTTAAATTAATTTTCTTAGAAATAACTCATTTTTTTTTAGCAATGATCTTCCATTGGTTATATACTATGTAATTAAGTTACATTGTTACAATGACAAGTACCAAGATTCTAAACACATTTGGAAACAAACCCAGG